TCTCTCCCTCTCCCTACCTCTCTGAATCAACAAAGAAATACATTTTTTAAAAAATAAATAAAAGGACACCAAACCAACAATCCCATTTACCATTGCATCAAAAAATTATGATACTTAAGAATAAACTTAACCAGCAGGTAAAAGACTTGTACTAAGAAAAATACAGGATGTTGAATAAAGAGATAGAGGAAGATATAAGCAAGTGGAAAAATATACCGTGATCATGGATTTGGTAGAATTAAGATCATTAAAACGTCCATATTACCCAAAGCACTCTACAGATTCAATGTAATCCCTATTAAAATTGCAACAGCATATTTCACAGATCTACAACAAATACTCCAAAAATTGATATGGAACCAAAAAAGACCCCAATTAGCCATAGCAATCTTGAGAACTAAGAACAAAGGTGGAGGGATCACAATACCAGATATCAAATTACACTTTAAAGCCATAGTAATCAAAACAGCTTGGTACGGCCACAAGAATAGGTATATACATCAATGGAAGAGAACAGAGAACCCAGAAATCTACCCAAGCGATTACGCTTAATTAATATTTGACAAAGGAGGCAAGAGCATACAATGGAGTCACAACAGTCCCTTCAATAAATATTATTGGTAAAATTGAACAGATAAACGTGCAAAAAAAACCTGAAACAATACATGAACATATACCATTCACAGTAGTAAACTCAAAATGGTTAATAGACCTGAATGTGAGTGTGAAAACCATAAAAATCTTAAAAGAATTCATAGGCAGCAAAATCTCAGACATCTCTCATAGCAATGTGTTTACAGGTACATCTCCCAGGACAAAGGAAATTAAAGAGAAAATAAACGATTGGGAATACATCAAAATAAAAAGTGTCTGCACAGCCAAAGAAGTGATCAACAAAATGAAAAGGGAGCCCAAAGTATGGGAGGACATATTTGGCATGGATCCATGTGATAAAGGGTTAATATCCAAAATATATAAGAAACCCATACAACTTAACCAAAGGAAGACAAACAATCCAATCAAAAATGGGCAAAGGCCCTAACCAGTTTGGCTCAGTAGATAGAGCGTCAGCCTTGCGGTTTCAAAGGTCCCAGGTTCGATTCCGGTCAAGGGCATGTACCTTGGTTGCGGGCACATTCCCAGTGGGAAGTGTGCAGGAAGCAGCTGATCGATGTTTCTCTCTCATCGATGTTTCTGGCTCTCTATCCCTCTCCCTTCCTCTCTGTAAAAAACCAATAAAATATATTTTTAAAAAAATGGTCAAAGGACCTTAATACACACTTCTCCAAAGGGAACATACAGATGGACAAGAAACATAGGAAAAATGCTCAAAGTCACTGACCATCGGAGAGATGCAAATTAAAAGGACAATGAGGTATCAGCACACACCCGTCAGAATGGCTATCATCAACAAATCGACAAATGAGAAGTGCTGTCAAGGATGTGGAGAAAAGGGAACCCTCCTACTCTGCCTGTGGGAATGCAGGCTGTGCAGCCATTATGGAAATAGTATGGAGTTTCCTCAAAAAATTAAACATGGAACTGCCATTTGACCCAGTGAATCCACTTTTAGGAATATATGCTAAGGAACCCCAAACACCAATCAGACTCAATATGCACCCCTATGTTCATAGCAGCACAATTTGCAATAGCTAAGACTGTAAACAGCCCAAATGCCCAAGAGTAGCTGAGTGGATAAAAAAGCTGTGGTATATTTATGCCACAGAATACTATGCAGCAGTAAAAGAGAAGGATCTCTTACCCTTTGGGACAGCATGGAGGAACCTGGAGAGAATCATGTCAGTGAAATAAGCCAGTCAGAGAAAGACAAGTATCACATGACCTCACTCATATGTGGAACCTAATTAACAAAATAAACTGATGAAGAGAATGGATCCAGAGACCGAGAAGCATGGAGTAGACTGGGGAATATCAGAGGGAAGTCATGGTCGGGAGGGTGGGTGGGAAGAGGTCAACCTACAAACTCATATGCATATGTGCATCATCCAGGGACCCAGGCAATAGGATGGTGAAGACCTGGGCACCTGGGGTGGGGCTGGGCTAGAAGGTGTCAATGGGGGGTAAGGGGGCATGTGTACTACCTTTACCAATAAAGGTACAGTTTAAAGAAAAAAGAATTAGGACTTGGACCCTCAGACTCCCACTGAATATGGTCCCTGTGTCATCCATTTTCTCTCAGGTGGGGTCAAGACCTCAGCTATGAAATACTCTGCCTCATGAATATGCAAAAGAGAGGCGGTAGACCAGGTTAAATATGGGTAAGTCTGTGCCCTGAGGGCATCACCCACAGACACACCCTTCCCTACAGAAATGCTCACAGCACAGCCCTCAGCATGGACTGGAGCTGGAGAACCCTCCTCCTGGTGGCCATGGCGACAGGTAAGGGGCTCCCTTCCTGGGTTATGGAGGATCCAGGGAGCGTCAAGTGCGATTCCACTCACTCCTGTCTCCTCCCCACAGGTGTCCACTCCCAGGTGCAGCTGGTGCAGTCTGGGGCTGAGGTGAGGAAGCCTGGGGCCTCCGTGAAGGTCTCCTGCAAGACTTCTGGATACACCTTCACTGACTACTACATTCACTGGGTGGGACAGGCCCCAGGACAGGGGTTTGAGTGGGTGGGGAGGGTTAACCCTTACAATGGAA